AGTTCGAACAAGGCCAACAGGACGGCGAAGAAGACACAAGCGTGGAGTAGAATTGAAATCAGAGGAAGACGGGAGAGGGGTCGGCCAGGGACCCGGTGACCAGCGTGGAACGCTACCTCACCGCTCCCGCGCACACGGCGTTGACATGAACTCATGCGGCGGCAACAAGTGATTAGTCCGTCGGTGGACGAGGGACTGGCCAGTACGCGCACTGACTGGCCAACAATTACGACAGCCGCAAAGGGGACAAAGGTCATACATGCCCCCCAGCAGTCAATCTCACACACAGTCAGCAGCGAACAAGCAGGTTAAAGTTCGTGCGCTGAACACGGATATAATAACAGGCATGCAGCGAGGCTGAAACAGGAACAACCACCACGTTACTCTGACGATGGAAACAAGCGAGTGTCCGAAACTTCAGTCTCAATATAACTTGGTCCATGTCCCAGAACCTTCTTCTTAATCTTCTTTGGGGGATGATGAAAACGATAAGATATCTGGACCTCAAATCTTTGCGCATAATACATTTTTATGCTCAGCGCCGAAAAAAAACTACAAAGCAAATGTAACCTTGAGTTAAACGGTGAAGCATACTCTCTGCAATCTGGTAAATATTGTGCCAGTCCAACCTAGTCTGATCCACTGGCATCAGACAAAAGAAGATGGGTGTTTTGCTGACAGAAGAGGTCGCGATTAATATAATGATAGTCGTGCCACCTCCACTAACACATGCACTACGGCATATCTAAGGAAGCAGTGAGATTATTTTTCTTACACAAGACGACCAATAAACAATACATTTTCACGGTCAGCACCAAGAAGATAGTTAGAATTTTTTTACTCCTATTTAAATGTTAAACATATTGCAAAGTGTTAAGCTTATTCCGATTTAAACCTCGCCGTTGCGATCTTCAGTGCCCCGGTTTCTTAGGAGGGGGGCTAATTCTTGGGAAGGCCAGAGTGTTAAGAACAATATGTTGTGTACAGAAGAGTTAGAAGAAATTTGCCACTCGCTCTGGCATGGCTTTCAACCGTGTGGACTGTGTGAGATAGATAGATAGATAGAGAACTTTATTTTGATGATAATATCAAAATTTTCAGCAAAAAAGTGGTTCCATTCACGGAGAGCAAAAATAAGGTGAATTAAGGGGTCCAAAAAACTCAAGAGTAAACAGTCAAAGATCACAAAATACTCAAAGTAAGAAATCGACACGGTTACCACAACTGTTATGGAGACAGGTCTGCCTTTAGCTTCTCAATTTCCGTTTCTTCACAC